ACAGTGTCTATCATACCTCCGAGTTTAAATTAACTCTTTCAAGTTTTACACTAGTGACACAATGCGGTGCTTGCACATGTATGTTTGATTTATTTTTGTGAAGATAGTATTGATTGTAGATATCTTCCTTGTAGATATCTGTATCTCTCCACCGGTTATTTTTCTCTTTTTACTTAAGATCTTCAGTTTCTAATCATTAAAACCTCTGTCATATTGATAATATATAAGGCAATGAAATCAGCCACTATAACGGAGACTGTAAATAAAAACTGTTCTTGTTCACAGTTTAGTAAAATAACCTTAAAGTCTAAGGTTATAAGAAGTGTCTCAAAAGGAAAAAATTCAACACAAATAATAGGGTTTGTAAAGTAGGAGCTGAGTACAAATGAGTTTTTCTAAGTTTCTTTATTAAGTAGCCTATCTGAAACTCTGCCCAAAGCTATGGGCAAGGTCTGGCGGTACAGCAGTTTATATTACTCAGATCAAAGAGAAAAAATGAGACACTCTACGAACTTCGTACTTTAGATGCCCTTCCTTGCTTCAGAGCCAAGGGACTTTCTGAGGCAGTACATAAAAGTTGAAAAAGAGAATAAAAGAGCAGATGAGGTCTCCCTGTATAATGAAATTAAAATGGCAGTCAGTGACTTTTAGTTTAATGTTTTTGTGCTCCTTCCCATTTGTGATTTAAGAAGGATGTGCATATCTGACTTTAATTTTCTTATCTATCCATCAGTTGTTACAAGAGATAAGATGGGAAGTAGTAATTTAAACTAGAAACTTTTGCAAGAAGCCGAATTAAAGAATTGGTATTTTTTATAGAATCACTTACCAATTTTTCTCATTGTCCACAACACAGCAAACTCTCAAACTATATCAGTTGCCATCATTATCTAAGTGAATGTTGTCATATCTACTCCAAAACCACATCATCTGCACAACCATGAAAGAACACAATCAGAGGGGTGAAGCTAAGGCTATGAGAGTAATGATTCACAGACCACAGTGCTGAGCATTTGCCAGTTTATATTTTTATAGGTTCTAAAGTTGAAACTCACATATCTTCTTCTAGATATGTCGAGAATAGCGTAATTTCACCAGACGGAATGAAGGTAATTGAGTTCATTGGTAATTAAAATCAAAGTCTCTGCCAACGGACTCAATTTATGACATGGTATCATCTATAAAGTCATTTTATGGAAAGTAAGTGTTTAGGTGAATATTGCTTGGATGATATGCTGACTGTTCAGATTAAATAGTACAACTCAAAATGTTATGCTAACCGTTAAAAGGACTCACAAGAAAGCAGTGTATGAGAAATCATTAAACAGGTAAAATAATGACATGTTATAGTTATTTTTAATGAACTTTCTCTTGCAGACATTTTCAAATAAATAATATGATTAATTCCCATGTTCCCATCACTCTGGTTTAATAGTCACCCACCCATGGCCAATTTGGTTTCATATCTACCCTTCTCCTGCATTAGAAGCAAACCCCAGGTGTCGTATGATAACACTTATGCATATGCTTGAGAAGTGTTATTCATTTAATAACAACACTTTTACTAGTTTAGACTGTAATATTTAAGTGTTAAAATAACATCTAAAGAATGAAGAAACAATTCTTTAATGTCACTAAATATCACCTACTTTAGTAATTTTCACATATAATTGCTAATAAATATACAATATATATTTCTTCACTTGTCTCTTTAAATCAGGATCCAATAAGATCTACCTTGTAATCTGTGGCTGAATCTCTTCAGACCATTAATTTATCCATTTCCTGCTCTATATGCATTTTTCACCATTTCAATTCAACTGCTAAAGAAACCAAGTTGTAACGTGGTCTGGACTATGTCATTGTATCCTCTGCTGTCGTTTGACGCTTTCCGAGTATGGCGTAAAAAGTAATCTGGATATATTAAAGTGGTAACTGGATCCGAAAGGTTAGAATCCAATTCAGGATTCTTTTTTCCCTCAGCGTACTTCACAGCTGTGTTATCTTATCAAAGGGACACAATGTCCAATATTGTACCTCATGTTACAGTCACTAATGATGGTTGCCTAGTTCTAGTAATTTATTAAGAGTTTCATAATGATAATTCCTTACTTCTACCATTTCTTTTTCTTTTATTAGCTAGAATCCCTTTGTAAAATAAAAATCTCTTCTACTGGCCGTACGTATTTGATTAGAAAGGAAAAATAAATGGTAAATTACTTTATTTGTGCGTTAGTTTTCAACTGTGACAACTAGGGGTCTTTTAGCTTTAAAACTATTTTGTGCTGGGGAATATTTGTATTAGTCAGAACTTTTAAAATCCCATTAGGATAGGCAGAATAGACTATAATGTGAAGTAGCTGCCTTGTATATTGCCAGTGTATTCCAAATTGATAAAAGACAAACAAAGAGAAAATACAGTAGAGGCACAGACCAGATATTATAGATAGCATTTTTGCTACTAAAACCTAGGTAAAACCTGAGACACTAAGCCTGTTATAAAACTAAAAGCTTGCTTCTGTAGGCTTAAAAAAGCAGAGAACTTTTTCTTCTAATCTAAAAAAACTGTGTGGCCATTTTAAAAACATTTGTTTAGGCTTGGGGAGATAGCCCAGTGGGTAAAGCTCTTGCCTAGTGTGCACAAGGCCCTATGTTTCATCCTCAGTACCTTCAAAAAAAAAAAAAAGCTCATATTGCAGATAAATAAGTGAAGAGAGGCTGTTACCAAAATAACTCTGAGTGCCCGCGCTGACCCCACAGGGACCCATACTTGCGCCTTGGTATGCTCTTGTTTTTCCAAACAGGTCACGTTGCTCAGAGTTCTCCTTGGGAGACACCCGGACTTATGGCTCTACATATTTCTAAGGGGTCACGGAAGAGTACAGCAAGGAAATAAAGCTGAAGTAAAGCCTGACTGTACCGCTGGCTTGCTGACTTCTTTAAAGCCTTGCCACTGTTAAGGGGATGAATCTCAACTCTATAACTTGCTATTAAGGCCATTATAGTCTATTTTGCCTATCCTAATTAGTATCCTGTCTATTTCTTTTACCACCCTCCCATTAAAGTGTCCACAGTCTAGAAGAAAAGTAGACAAATTCCTTCTCTATGATCATTTTTGAATTTCTCTTTCTGTATCTTGGTTATTCTGCTTCATTTCCTTAGCCCTGAAATTCCTTCCCAGCAAATGCTATCTCTGATTTCTTCCTCCTTGTGATGCAGTTGGCATCCACCTATGTGGTATGAAGAATAATGAGCCCCCCAAAGATTCCTGTATCCCAATGCCTGGAACAGAGAATATGTTACCACACACAGAAAGGGAAATTGAGGCTGTAGATGAAGTTAAGCTTGCTAATTAACAGATATTAAAATGGGAAGATTATTCAGGATTATCCAGGTGGGCTTGACAAAAATCCCAAGAATCCTTTAAAATGAGGGAGGAAGAAAGAGACCAGTTCAGAGTAATGTTATCTGAGACTCAACCCACCATTGCTGGCTTTGAAGCTAAGAAAGAGGACAATGAGCAAAGAACAGCTTCTAGTAGGTAGAAAAAACAAGCAAACAGATTCTCCCCTGCTAAGGAAATAAACCTATTTACAGCTTGATTTGAAACCCAGTGAGATCTGTATTGGGCTTCCATAGAATTGTAAGGAAATATATTTATTGGTTTAAAGCACCGAGATGGCGGTAATTTGTTGCAGCAGTCATAGAAAACTAATACACTCTCTTTTTTACTCACATAATGCTTTGTGCCACTATTTTGTATTTATGCAGTTGGAGGCAGTAGATGAAGTGAATTGGAGTAAGACTGGTTCTGGGTTCAAATTTTTGCTCTGCTGTTTCTAAATCTGATCACCAGTTAAAGGAACACCTTGGAATCTTCCACTGCACATAACCATTCTCCTTCAAGGTATTTATCACAATTATAATTATATAATCAATTGAGTGCTTAATTAAATGTCTGTTTTCCATTTGAAATAATAGCCTCCCTAAGGGAAGAAGCTATATCTATCTTGGCAATGACTTGTATTCCAAGCACAAAACCACTTTAAAACATTTGCCAATGGAGCAGAGTGAACAAATTTACCACATGAGGTGTGATGTAGACAATAAAAGAGCAATACAATCAGAATAGAAGAAAGCCCATTCACTGGCCCAGTATAATTCTGGAATTTAGAGGACCATCACCCAAGAGATTGCATAAGCTCCTTTTTCCAACTCCCATTCTCTATGCTATTTAATTTTTTGATCTTTTCCCCTTTGCTGTTTGGGTGAGGAGGCATATCTCCATAAGGTGTACCTAGGACTGCAGTTGTGGCTTCACAGGGCGTCTCTGCCTTGATAGACTCCTCATGAGTTCAGAGTCTGATACTCATAGTAGTAAGTGTGAAAAAAAAAAAAAAAACTGACCACCATGAATCAGAGTGTGGATTCAAGGATATATATACATATTCAAAGGGCAACTGGATACCAGCTGGAGTCCCAGGAGGGCTATGCTAATGCCATCTGAGGGGAGACCCCTAGCACCCGAAAGATCCAGTATCCCGAAGATCTTCCACTAAGTCCCACCTTTTAAAGCTTCCACCCCCACTGCCCAGTAATGTATGTCTGGAGACCAACACTTCAGTATATGGAAACATACACAATTCACCCTGTAAGACCAAACAAAGCACCAATTTTCTTTTATTTACTAGGCCAAACCTATTAGGATTCTAAAATATTGAGAGTAAAGGGAATTTATCAATAAATTTATCCAAGTTTTCCATTCAAAACCACTTAAGCTCAAATTGGGAAAAGACTATACTAGCAAAACAAATCATTCACTTTCCTAAATTTACTTTCTTTCAAATTTACTTATTTTTGTCTGAAAATGTTTAATATTGTTTATCAGCTTTTCTTTAATAATTTCAAGAGTTTTAGTTACAATGAGGGACTTTTTTTTCATTTCCTGGTTATAGAGGAAATCACTTATTTGTATACATGTAGACTTCCTTGTTTTCATTCTTTTAAAAATTCAAATCTCTAATTAATAAGGAAAATTATAATTGTGTATAATATGAAAATCTAATTTTAACTTTTTTCAATGTTTCTCCAGTTACTACAATTTGTTAAAAGTTTATCTTACTTGGGCATGGTGGTGCGCACATATAGTCCCTGTACCCTGGGAGATTGGAGTGGGAGGACCACAAATTCAAGCCCAGCTTGGGCAACTTAGCAGCTTAGTGAGATCCTGTATCAAAACTAAAATGTAAACAAAAAGAGCTGAATGTAGCTCAGTGTGAAGACCCTGGGTTTGATCTCCAGTACAGGAAAAAAAAAGTTAATTTTTCTTGCCATGATTTATATACTTGGACCTATTTTTGGATTTTCTATTGTGTTGTTTCTATTGTTCTATGTTGTTCTATTGTTCAATGTTTCTATTGTGTTTTCTATTGTTTCTATTGTGTTTCTATGTCAGTCCACATAGTGCCAATTCACATTGTTTGAATTTAGAAACTACTTCCCAACTAGATGTTTTACTATCTAGTTATTGGACTCTTCTATTATTTCAAGTAGAAGTAATCTTTATGATGTTTATTGATTATTTCTAAAAATATAGAATACCTTTCCACTTGTTCCAATATGATTTATGTTGTAAGGTTTTCCTGTATCTTCTGCATATCTGTTAACTTTGGGTCATTTATTTATTTTCTTGCAGTGCTCAGTATCAAATCCAGGGACTTGTGTGAGCTAGGCAAGCATTTTATCACTGAGCCACAATTTATTCACTTTATACAAGCCACAATTTATTCACTTTATACAAGTTATGATGGAAAGCTACGGTAAATATTCAAATTAAAAGTTATCACAATAGAAGGCACATGGCCATTAATCCCCCTCCAAATACTCCCCTTTGCTTTGAACACACTTGTTTTTTCATTCTTGCTCCTTTCTGAAGCAGTTCTGGAAGTCCTTCTGTGTGAACGTCTTTAGTTGAATGGTCGTGGCTGCCTTGATGTCCTGAATCAATTCGAAATGTTTACCTTAATTGTCACTGACTTGGGTAGGAGCCAAAAGTCACATGGTGCCAGATTCAGTGAAGAAGACGAGAAGGACCATAATGCTTTGACGTGCTTGCTTCTCCACTGGATTACTGAGCATCATGTATTGGAGTTTTTGCTTTGTTTTCCATGTTTCTATTAGTATATACTTGTGATATAACAAATATATTTATCTTAGTACTTTTTACTTACCCTTGCCCTCTTCTCTCTCCTGTCTCTCCCCATTCTCAGAACCCCATCCCATGGCTAGCATACCTCATAAAGGCCTTTATGAAAAAGGATTTTCAGACTTCTTCACAAAAGAGGCTAGAATCACCGGATAAGTGTGTTCAAAGCAAAGGGAAAATGCTCAGAAGGGGATTAATGGCAGGATGTCTTTAAGTCTCATAAATTTTAAAATTTTAAATATTTACTGTACATTCCAATCACACTTCATAATTTCCTTTCTTATTTTTTCATTTTTATTTACTCAGAGCATTTGAAATCTGAATTTTCACCTTCCACCTTTATTCTTACTATTGTTTTAGTTTTAGATGTACACTTAAATATCTCCAAAAACACTTACTAGCTATTCCTTTACTAAAATCATCTTCTGATTGAATGAAGACTGTCTGCTAGCAGACTTTTTAAGGAGAATTTGTGAGCACAATATTTTTTGAAGTTTTAAATGGTTAAAATGGTTTTATATAGCTGTGAAAATTGAGAGACAGCATATAAAACCTGTGATTTGCATGATCTTTGAATTTCTCAAAAATGTTATTCTACTTTTATCTATCATTTTATATGGATAGTGGTAATGTCTAGTCTGAATTTTAAACATTATTTGTGACTGTCTTTTATATCTGAAATAAGTTGTGTAATTATATTTAATTCATATTTCAGTGTTGTCTTACAATTTTACTTTGTTTTATGGCTTTTTTCTCAGGGTCGGACAATTATCATCATCCTATAGAACACTTTCTTTAAAAATCGGAAGAAAATAGTGTTCACCATCTCCTCCAGTATAGGATAAGAGATGTTTCAATATCAACGCAGAAGTGGCACAATTTCCCATTATTACTACATGGTAGCACTTTTCCTCTCCAATGATTTGATTTTTCTCACTCTGGGACTCAGATATCTCTTTGCTATCAAATAAACCCTCTGGCTGATTGTCTATTACCTATTTTCAATTATTTTTTTCTAATGCTGTCCTCAGTATAAGAAATGATGAGAAATTGAACATTTTCCCTTGGAGAATATAAGTTGCCCCTATCTTACTGGCTGAGTTCTACATATTCAAACTCAATAATCTCAGTTTCTTCCCACATTTCCCAAGATTTAAAGAAAAATTAAAATGCGGTAAATAAATGTGGTACCAGATGTACTCCAGCAAATGATAGCTCTTGGAATAGCATCTGAAATGACAATGTGTACTCACTTGGAATTCAGAAATGAAAATGTCCCAGCGCCTTGCTTCATTACTGAAGGGAATCAGCCTTATACCACAGCAATTGCCTGTTCCCACCAGCTGACAATGAAATGAATGCGCTGTGGGAGCTGAGATGATTGTGGCATTAAACTTAGCAGTCTCTCCATGATCCCGCAAGACTGCCACTGAATCTAAAGTAAATCACTTCTGCGAAGAGTCTGTATAGAACTTGTTCATCATTTAAAATCTGGAGGGGAAAGATGAGCAAAATCAAATGAGTTAGGAAAGACATTATCAGCTAAGAGACAGCTCAGGGATCTGTTGTAGATCAGGCTGAGAAAACAGGACATAAACAGCCATACAGCTTGAGGAGAGTCAGCATCATCTGTGGAAACCTGATTGGTTTTATTATTGTCATCAGTCACGATCATGATGAAAATAGTGGTGGCCTGGTATTTGGTGAACACAAAACAATGCATTGGCAGTATAACTTCTATAGAAAGCAAAGAACCATACAGATTCTCTGTCTGATAAGCTTGGCATTGAAGTTTACACAGACTGTGACCAGAGAAGGAATACTGAAGGCATTAAGAGCTGGTGGCTGAGATAAGACAGGCGTGGACACACTATCATGCCATTAGGTGGAGATCATAATTCTTAATCTCTGATCTAATCTTTTTCTTAGGAAGGTAATGAGTGAAATATTAGTGCCAGAGTTATTACAAATGAAGGGAGTCAGGAAAGGAGATGATTAATGTCTGTGGGTAAAACTCTCTGAATATATCTCATTTAATATTCAAAACCTTACAATAAGTTAGAAACTGATTTCTATTCTATATGTGATGTGAGATTTGGAGAGTTACAGAAATAGTCCAAATGCCCAGTGGCCAGTAAGGACAGCAAAAGGCTAGAAGCAAGGTACAGCCACAGTGGTCCAGACTAAGCCCTTATAAGCACTGATCTAATTGTAAACATGCCAAGTCCAAACTCTATCAAACGTCTAAAGTTGCACTGTCTACTTTTGTCCAGTGTGTTTTTGTCCCTTACAATGTTATGTTTTGTGAAAGCGTGTAAACTCAGTGATGATTAAGCACAGTCTTTCTCTAATAAATGCATACGTTAATAAGAAAGAAATTAAATATTTTAATTGCATTATCTTCAGTAGTTTTTTTATGTGCTTGATTCTTCATACAGTGAAAAGGTTGATTAAATATCCCAGTATGTTCTGAATTTCTCTATTTCCTTTGTAGATCTATTAATTATTGCTTGGTATATTTTGAGGTGTTTTGACATATCTAAATTTAAAATATGGTGAATTAATACTCATAAAAATAATATTTTATACTATATTTCTTGAAAAGTTTTTTTTCCCTTAAATCTTTCTTTGCATGATGTTAAGTATACCAACTTTCACTTGGTTAAAAATGTGTTTTCCCATTCTTTGACTTTTAAGTTTTTAAAAGTATGATACTAACATCAGTTTTTGTTCAGTGATGAATCTATTTTTCAGTTTTGCTTTTCCACATTTCTGGAGGCTGTTGTTCAAGTCTGGAAGGTTACTGAAAGATGCATGTATCAAAGGTGGAGTCCCCGGCGTGGTGCCGTAGGGAAGAGGTGGAAACATTGACAGGTCTTCAGGTTGTTACAGTTGTTCCTTCAAAGGGAATAGTGGGATCCCAGCCCATCCTCTTCCTGTTTTGCTCCTTGGCTCACCATGAAGTGGATGGTTTTGCACAGAACACTTCCCAAAGCCCTGCATGTGGACATCTCCAAGAATTTGAGCAGTTTTGATAAGACAGCCTAGAACCGAGGTCAGCCTGAGGAGTGGAAGATACAAAATGGGCAGTTGCCATTGAACACTCTGCTGCTGAGTCCTGTCACAGTACTCCACTCTCACGCTGTAGGCTGTACTTCTTTCTTCCTTTTGCTTAATCCAAACTCGCTCTAGAGAGCATGCTTCTTTTTCTATCTTTAGCAAGTGTAACATCTTCCTACTTTTTGTTCTTGTTTTGCCCAATTTGTTGTTCAAGAAAAGAACTTAGAAACCACCTCAGGAAGTGCACTCCAGCACCCGCAACCCAGTAATAGTTGTGCTCCACTACACGTTCCTGATGTGATGCAACACTACGGCCCCAAACAATGGGCCAACATATCATGGACTAAAACTTCTAAAAACTGTGTACCAAAATAAACCTTGTCCCTTTATAAGTTAGTTATCACTGGTATTTGTTATATTTGGATCACTAATAGCACCCTGGATCTATTCTTTTTTTTATTAGTACATGTTTACTGTACATAATGCATACCTTCCTTATGTGGGGTTCATACATGTACTTGACTCATCTTAATTCTGTTTTAAATGTGTCTTTTCTCAACAAGACATAGCTGAGTTTTTAAATTCAATACTAGAGAAAGGTTCACTGGGATAACCTGCCAAAGTTTCAAATGCAGCTTTCACTACGTTTGTATGCATAATAGTTATGTGTGTGTGTGTGTGTGTGTGTGTGTGTGTGTATTTTTTTTTTGCAGTACTGGGGATTGAACTCAGGACCTTGTGCTTGCCAGGCAGGCACTTGTGCCACTGAGCTATATCCCCAGCCCAATTATGTATATATTTAAATTTATCTATTTTCAATATATTTTTATTTTTAATTGGCATATAGTAATTGTATATGTTTATGGGGTATAATGTAACCTTTCAATAATTGTATATTAAGTGTAGTGATCAGATCAGGGTAATCGGCTGTCCATCACTGTAAACACTTATCCTTCATCAGTGTTGGATATTCAAAGTCCTCTTTACTAACTATTTTGAAATATACAATTAATTGCTGTCAACTTTGTTATTCTACTGTGCTACAGAACATTAGGTATATTCCTCCAATCCAACTATATCTTTCTATCTACTGTCAACCTCTATCTACTTTCCATATTCTTTTCCCAGGCGCTGATAATAACTATTCTATCTCTACTTCTGTGAGATCAACTTTTAGCTTGATCCCAACATGTAAGGGAGTATATGTGATATTTGTCTTTCTGTATGTAACTTATTTCATTTAACATAATGTCTCCCAAATACATTCATGATGCTGCAAATGACAGAATTTCATTCTTTTTAACAGTTGAATACTATTCCATTCTCTCTATATATCATATTTTCATAATTTGTTCCTCCATCATTGGAGCTACATTGATTCCAAATTATGGTTATGGTGAAGTATGTTGCAATAAATACGCAGGTGTAGATGTTTCTTCCACATGCTGATTTCATTTCCTTTGCAGATTGGGATTACTGGATCAGTGGCAATTTTATGCGAATTTACTTCTATGGTTTTTTTTTTTTTTTTTTTTTTTTTTTTTTTTTTAGTACTGGGAATTGAACTCATGGTAGACACTGTGCCGCTGAGCTATACCCCTGGCCCTGCTTTGCTTTCATTGTTACTTTTTATCTTCTTGCTTTTTTCTTGATTGATTATGTTTTTGTTCCATCCCTTTTCACCACAGCTTTTGGGAAATATATTGCCATACTACATGTGTATTGTTTCAGTAGTTACCGTAAATTTTCTATTATGTGCAATTAACTTCTTAACGTGTGACCGAAAGATCTTTATCATCCTCCCAATGTAAAAGTTTTAGCACGTCAAACCTGACTTATTTGATATTGTTGTTGAATATTTTAGTTTCTCATGAATTTCTTGTTATTCTCAGAAATCTGTTGCTGTTCTTGTTTTTTAGCCTATGTTTGTTTAGCAGTTTCTTTGTTCCTTATCTCTTTGTTCATGTCAGATTATTCCTCTGAGATTACACTTTGGCCTGAAGT